TGTGTCAAGGGTATTACAAAGAGGGCAGAACAAAAGCACTGCGTGATAGAATGAAAGATAGGTGAGTTTCAAATATTAGCATGGAAAGATCAGGGAGGCCATTGTAACTCATGGATATTCAGAAAGGCCTGTGGGAATCGCAGAAGCCCTTTGCATGACAAAGGAGACATACTTCACTGAGTGTTTCTCAAGTGTGGTCCACTTGGCAGAAATGTGCCAAAGGACTCAACTCAGAGGTGAAGAGATAAGAAATATTTAGCAGCCGATGCCCAAACAAAGGAAGCATGAACTGGAGAAATGGGCATGAAGGTCAGCACTTAACCGTCTCATTGACTATCCTAGCAGCAGAAATTTAGAAACTCATTCAGCAGTTGAAACACAAAAACAAGTCATTGTAGGAGGAAACCAAGCTTACCGTAGTGGGCAGAGCTGACTGCCCCAATAGCCAAGCCAGTTGCTTCCATAGTACAGCAAATAATAAGATTTCTTTTTGCTTTCAAAGGGTGAACAGTATTTCATTATCTACCAGTCTACACAGCACATTTTGTTTATCCATTTATTCACCCGTGACTGCTTAAGATGGAGTCCAGCTGTAGTTATTGTGAATACGGGCTCCAGTGAACACAGGAGTGCTGGTATCGCTTACACGTGCTGATTTTCATTTCTTTCATTATATACCCAGCAGTAGGACTGCTGGATCATCTGGTAGTTCTGTTTTAATTTTTTTGAGGAAATGGCACTGTATAAAAAAGTAATAGGCCATACTGCCTGATAAGAAGAGTTTTCAATATCACAATAGTGCTGCAACAGAGACCAGAGAAAGAAAATGACAACAAAGTCCTGAGGGAAACTCACACTGCACCTAGTGCAAAGTTAAGCTCATTATGTGAATTATCTTCTTTTCCTCACAAAAAGCAAGCTCCTTTTCTAAATGAAGAAACTAGAACTTTGAGAAATTAAATTGCCTAAATTCATAGTTAATAATAGATTCTTATTTTCAAAGACAATTCTTGTAGCTCTAAAAACTCCAGTCCAGCCTCCAATTAAACCTAAAAGGTACATTTATATTTACTATGTAGTTAAGAATATACATTAAATGAATTATCTGAAAATAAACTTAATTTTTAAAAGGCCTATGTTTAAGAGTAAGTTGTTTGAATATAACCTAAGAGAGAACATTCAATAAAGATGAAAGAAAAAAAGGAAAAACATGTTTGCAATAAAAAAGAAAACAATGGACCTCAGGGAATTTCTAGAGATATAAAAAGACAGCTTACTTAAACAGGAAAATCATTATCTGCTGAATATGTTTATAGGAAACTAGAACATTTCATTATTTCTTAATATTGATAGAATACTCACTAGCTGTATGGAAGGTTATACTTCCTGTTGATATAATATATCATCATAGCCAAATTTCAAAATGGGAAAACTCACGCTTATCCATCTCTTAGAAAGAATAGATGACGTTGCTTTTAATAAAATTGTTTAAGCTACCTAATTACTTCGAACTGTCAAGGTCACTGAATTAAGAGTGAAGGCCGTTACCTCTTCAGAAGGCTGTGCAGCTGTATAGTATTTGTTTTGAAAAGTTAAAGGCCTCAGTCAGTCAGCAATCTAGAGGGAAATCTGAGAATTCAGCAGGTGAACCAGACATTAATTCAGAACCAAGGGAAAGGTTTTCTTAAAGACATCACTAAGGATTTTTACCACTAAAACAAAACGGCTCTGCATTGTTACACTGATTTGACCAAAGGACAGATTTCCTAACAGTACATGATCACTTACTGTGAAACAAATCAGTTAGATTTTGGATCAGCCCTTTGACTCTTGGGATCATCACAAGCCCTTTCAAAAGTGTAAGACATTGGGGACAAGAACGGGAAGCTTCCCCTCCCGTGGGGGCAGTAATTGCACCTGACCTGCATCTTCTCTCATGTCACAGCACTCACCCACATTGCCATTTGAATTTCTATGAAAGTTCCAGAAAATGCATTCCTCAAAAATACCATGCATGCAAATTCAAATCTTTCTTCCCTCTCAACGTCACAGATTTGCATTTGAACTTACAGAACTGGAACCTCACTCAACAGCAATGGCTCGAATCCTCTAGCCCTGCAATGTTACTGTGCTCCTGGTGCCATCTGCTGTGGGGGACCCTTCCCTCACGTTAACTGAACTTGAATCAGTAACATCAGATTGCGAATGCTCACCTTAAGAATTTTCTGAAGGTTTTAGTTTGAAAACTCAGACCTAATTACCATCAGAAAGAAAAGATGAAAGAGTAATGCGTAAGCATGAACTTCTAACAAAGGCCAGTAAGTAACCCACTGGAGAGCGTGTGTTAGGTAACGATTAACCCTTCAACCATGTCTAAGCATACAGCTCAATGGTATCAGGCATATCCACATTCTGCACCCATCCCCACCAACTGTCTCCAGGACTCCTTTAATCCTGCAGGAGAAACTCACAGGGTATCTTTTAAATAAATCCTGAAGTTGACAACATGACAGGCTGCACTTCAGTTTGCAAGGAAGAAGGCCCAGGAGTGTTGTAAAGATTATTTGTACAGGCACCGCTTAATGCAGCAGTGCTCCCTGGCAGAGACCCGCCCAAAGGAATTTCTAAAGCTTGGACTGATGCAATGCTTGACTAAATCCAGTTTAGGAGATGTTGCCCAGTCAATTACTGCCGCTTCCTAGGAGGATTTTGCTGTTGTTCTTTCTCTCTACATTTTGCTCTGCAGGTGGAACCAAAATGTGTGTGTTTGTATGTTTTTATCTAAGAATGCTACATAAGAACAACTGGCATATTTTATTATTACAGAAATTGAGCTAGGAAGCAAGATAGAAAAGAGTTCCTTTATCCCTGGAGATTCTGTTTCTTCCTCTTTTTGGAAACTGGGGGGAAAGGTGCATAAACAAATTGCGAGCACATCAGGAAACTCAGGGTACGCAGCCTAATGTGCAGAGGGCCCTTCAGAACGGCAGGCAGCGTTAGCCTCAATATTGGACAAGATGTTTGCCTCCCATGCTGCCTCGTGAAGACAATCTGCCTGACATGGATGCAGGGAAGCTGCATGAAGTGATGGAAGATGTAGATGGAAACAACCATGATGTCAGGAACTCAATGGCAGGGATGAAGCAGTCAGAGGCAAAACAAATATCCGAGCAGCCAGGTGACCCAATAATCATCCCAGACCCCTTAGAAAGACACCCATCCATTCATTCAGCAAACATGTGCTAATATCCTCCTCTCTCTACAAGGTAAAGTTAAGCTTTAAAGAGTTGCTTTAGTTTCCTAGAGTTGTCATAATGCAGTATCAAACTAGTCAGCTAAGGTCTGCAGGTCAGAAGTCTAAAGTCCATGCTGCCTAAACAGGCTCTAGGGAAAGATCCACTCCAAGCATAGCTCCTAGCTTCTGGTTGCCTCAAGCAGTCCGTGGCTTGTAGACACATCACCCCAATCTTGCCTCTTCACAGGATGATCTCTCTGGCTGTCTTCATGTTGTTTTCCTCTGTGTGTCTCATGCACTCTCTATAGTCATATTAAATTAGGGCCAAGTCTACTGATGTCATTTTAACTTGCTTGCCCTTGTAAAGACATTATTTCCAAATCCACTCATAGCCCTGAACATGAGAGGTTACAATTCTAGCATATCTTTTTGGAGAACCACAGTTTAACCCTAACAGAGACACTAGGAGGAGATACAAACTGTCATAGAGAGGAATCTCACACTGTGACAAGGATGTAGGAAAATATTCATCTCAGTGATGCTCAACACACTGGTACAGGTCACGAGATTATGGGAGCTGATACATGTTATTTTTATTGCTTTGGATTAATAAGGACCTTATCCTTTATACCATTTTCTTCGAGGCATGCAACCTTTTAGAGTAAGCAAAGAGACAAAAACCTTCAGGTGGAACCTCCTTGGCAATGGCTTCCCTCTTAACTGCTTAACTTAGTAACAATAACATTCACGGTTCTCCAACATTCATGTATTCTTGGGAGTGAGGAAGAGAGTCAAATTACAAAAACATAACACAAAATATGCCATTTATAAGATACTTTTTTTAAAAATCTGTCTTATAGGAAAACTTTCCCCAACACTTTAAATATTATTAATCAACGAAGAGTAAGATTTTAAACCCATATAAGTAATTTCCAGACACAGAGTAAATACATTTTTTTAAGTATCAAACTAAAGGTGATTCTTTAAGTTTTGATTTATACTCAGAAATAGGAGTGATACCACTGCTGTAAAGAAATTCAAAGGATTCCAGCTGTCACCAATAGCAAAACTCTATGAATTACCCAATGTGGCTACATGGTAAAGGAGCCATGATTCTTCAAGCCTAAAGCCTGTGTTCCTGAACTTGCCATATACAGGAAATACTCATTTATTAAGTTTTAAAATTTGGTTGTCTTTCAGAAATATGAGACTAATTCAGTGAGATTTAGAAAAATGAAACAGTGAATTCAATCTAATGCAAAGTAGTGCAGAAGCAATGTTAAATTTTCTTACGAAGCAAAACAAGAAAACGAATCTTATACAACTTGTATTATTATTAAACGTCCATATTATTAAACAGTATAACCACAGAGATTTCAATGTTTTCTTTGAGACAAGAACCTTGCTTTCACTTGGAAATTTTTTCAAAGAAATTCAGACGATTCTGTTTCTCCTTAGATACACAGTTTGCAAATATTTTCCCCCATTCTGTAAGTTGTCTCTTCACTTTACTGATTGATTGCTATCTTGGGCAAAAGCTTTTAGTTTGACATAATCCCATTTGTCTATTTTTGCTTCCATTGACTGTGCTTTTGGGATCTTAGCCAAGAAATCTAACACCCTTAGTGGTTATTACACAACATTTACAGGTCTTGAAACACCATATTTGCTATATAAATATGTACAGTTACTATATATCAATTGACAACATTATGTTCTCCCAATAGGTTGCCGCCATCCGTAGAATTAGTATTAGGAAACATACCTTGATGTTTTCCTCTTGTCGGTATTGCTTCCAGTTCCTCCCGCCATCACTGAACATCAGGAGATAGCTGGTCACCCAGTCAGAGCTCCCGTATCCTCCTTGTGTTGCCACAGCAGTGACCTCCATTCGCTCTCCAAGGTCAATCTGCAGCCATTGGTATTTATTTGATACCAGTGGGGTCCATCCGCCAGCTCCTTTTATGGAACAGAAACAGCAGAAAAATGATAAAGTAAAACAAATAATTTCACTTGTCAGTTACTAGAATAGAAAGCTGTAATATGAGGAATAAAAGTTTAAATTTACAGACTAAGTTTGAGAAAAAGAAATTCACACCAGAAAAAAGCATGAAATGTAAGATTGGAAATGGATGGACCCTACATTGTTTTCATATTTCTCTAGAAAGATCCTCTGTTCTGTGGAGGACAGGTGTCACATTAAGTGAGAAAGTGTCTGATGTCACGTCAGGCAGCCAATTCAGCATTCCTATCACTTTGCGGATGAGTGCATTTAATAGATCGGGGCAGGATTTGCCCTTTGCCAGACAGAAGAGATTAATTTCTATGGCAGGAAATAGAGTATTGAGCACTAAGTAAACAAAAATAATCACAAAGCCGGGGATCTAGCTCACGGCACAAGCACCTGCCTGGCAAGTGCAAGGACTTGAGCTCCATTCCTGGTATCAAAAAAAAAGGCACAAAGTGTACTTAAAATGCTGACAGTCTTATAGGATTTAACAGTGACCCAGGACCTACGAAGGAAGCTCAGCAGTGGAGTGTGTGTTTTTCATGTGTGGGTCCCCAAGTTTGAGCCCCATTATTTCAAAATAAGCACATGAAATAATTCTTCTAAGAGAGTACTTTGTGAACCGATCTCAATTGTGTGCAATTGAATTCTGAAGTAGATAATAAAATAGGTGTTAACAGAGATTAAGTGCTGTGGGTGGGAGGATAACAGGGGAAAGAAATTCCTAACTAAAAAGTACAGAGGAACAAGGAATCGAGTGAATTCTGGGCAGGGCATATCAGGCCCTCTGTTCTCCCTAGCCAGAGTAGGAGGATACTGAGGGAGAGCTTAATCTCAGTTTCACACACCCAACATTCAGCCAGCTCCAAAACACCCAACCTAAGGGCAAATGAGTTTTGGGGGTACATCTAGATATAAACCATAACATACAGAATTTCAGAACTAGAAGACAATGCTGCCTTCAAAGACCAACTACTCAGACATCTTAAAAAGGATAAAAGAACATTAGAAATGGATCCAACAACTGCTATATAATGCAAAGAAGATTAAGTGGAATAAGTTAAAAATCAGAAGACAACACAAATGGCATACACGAGAACCATCTTCTAGCCCTTCATCATGGTATTCAAGATGGGGGAAGATTTATTCTTGGGCTAACTGTAGCATATTCATTTTGCCTCCTGCTAGAGACAGTGCGTGGATTTCTTCAACCCTCAGTGGAGACTGCACCCAGAGTTCTCGCCCTCTACCTGTTGTTCCTTCCACTTTAATTGCTCAGGGAATAACGTAATATCATCTACCATTTCTATTCTCACTAAACTTAACTAAAGTTTATGAGCACTTGGGGCCAGATTATGACCACATCATATGTGTTGTCCTTAATTCCAAAGACAGTCTTATAGGAGAGGGCCTTTTTACTACTACCTGCTGGTCTGGATCTTGGACAACTTGTTAATATTTATGCAGCTAACAAGTGACTTAAGAGGTTTTGGATCCAGAACTGTATCTACTATTATTGACATATCATTTTGAAGATACTGACTGTGGTGGGGTTTTCTAAATAAATGTGCAAAGGATGCAACATAAATTTGGGAGTGAGCAGGTCTGGCTACACTAGAAAGTAGGCAATGGCCTGATATTCCCTATTTCTGGTCAGTCTGTACAGTGATATAGTTCAGTGAGGGTTCATCGCCCAGCATCTTCCTGTTGAAATCTACTAAATCTACTGTTCTTACCTTGGCCCATGCGAAATCTTTCCAAAATCCATCTGATTAGCATTCAAGAGTTCTAGGCACACCGCTACTTAAGCTAAATAATTTTGTTATTCTTTCAAAGATGAGTTGGGAAAAGAAAAAAAGAAATGTAAGCCAACTCATGATTCCAATATGGCACAGTGAGAAATTTATATATATAATTATCTTAGGAATTTTCACATTGCTGAGACATAATACCCAACACTGACAATTTACAGGAAGGTGGATTTATTTTGGCTCACAATTTCAGAAATTTCAGTCCATGGTTAGCAAGTTCAAATGCAGAAACAACATGACAGAAAGACCTGCCACACAAGAAAGCCGCTCATTTCATGGAGGCCAGCAAGAAGAGAGAGAGAAGAAAGGAAACAGAAAGTTACACGCCCAGTGGCCCATCTTCTCTGACCAGATGCCACCTCTAAGCAGCGCGTTCAGCTGCTGCACTCCCCAAGGGGTTATCTATTAATTAATAGAGCTCTCCCATGACTCAGCACATTTACCATCCTGCCTCTGAGCTCACTAGGCTTTGGGGGTACATTGCCAATCCAAACCATAACAGTCTACCCCTGGCTCCCCAAAAGACTCATGCCCATCTCCTTATGCAAAACACATTTTCTTTACACCTAAGATTTGCCAAAGTCTTATGAGTTCCAGCCTTGCTGAGAAGTCCAAGCCCAACATCTCCTCTGAGACTCAATGCAAATGCTTATCTGTGAGCCCCTGAAAAATAATAAAGATTAAATACTTCCAATGTTCTATGCATAGGGTAAAATTGCCATTCTAAAGCAGAGGAAAAGGATAAAAAGAAATTGGATCAAAATAAGAACACACTCTAGCAGGGAAACCATTAAGTCCTGTTGCTCGATGTCTATCATCTAAGGCCAGCTGTGGCAAAAACATTTGAGTGCCCCACCTCTATGGAACTACCAGCTGCAGCATTGCTAGTCACAGATACCGTGGCCTCTATCCTAGGTTTACTTTGCCCTCTGCCTAGGGCTTTCCTCAGCAAACGATCCACATCTTTGGTATGCCATTCTCTGGGTTTCAACTGTACTTTAGATTTACTGTGACATCTTTATTCACTGCTCGCTCAAAGGCAAACTGCCTAGCTTCCAATGCCTTCCTTTGAAATCTGGGGAGAAGCCTCCCTGACACTACAACCTTTGAATTCATCATGCCTATAAAACCACCATCATAAGGATGATGTCAAAATTTGCCACCAGTTTGAATAATAGCTGGGCTTTCAGCTCTGATCTTTTCCCTTTGATTCTCACTGTAGACCTTGCTAAAAGCCATCAACAGTACCCATGCCACACTCTGTATCCTGCGGTGCCTTAAAAGTTCCTCCTGTGGATTAGACTGAGACAGTCTCCTTCAAAGTTTTACGAAATGAACAAAATGTAGACATATTTTATGCCAGGGGCTGTTTCAAGTCCAGCTGCCAATGGAGTTCTTATTCTGAACTAAAACCTCTTGAGCCAAGCTTTAACTGTCTGCATTTTGATCAGCATTCTGGTCATCTGGGTTCTCACCAGAATCTCTCATCAAGCTCAATGTACAGTATTCTAAGCATTCTTTCTCCACAATCTCTTAAACCTTTCTAAACTCCTTCTACAAACCAATTCCAAAGGTTTCTAGACAACTTCATCAGGTTGTCATAGCAACAACCCCACTCCTGACACCCACATGTCTTTATCACTCTCTCAACACTGAGACACAATACCTGACACCCTCAATTTAAAGGAATACAGGTTTATTTTGGCTCGCAGTTTTTCAGAAGTTTAAATGCATAGTTGATAGGCCCAAATGCAAAAACAGCACAGTGGAAGATCCTGCTACAAAGGAAAGCTGCTTGTGTCAAGAAGTCCAGGAAATTTTAGCCAACAATCCCTCAAAGGGCTTATATTCAGAACATATAAAGAATGGAAAAACATTAAGCTCCCCAGATTCAAAGATCCTCTCCAAAAATGGGCATTGGAGATGAGTTCTCAGGTAAAGAAATACAAATGGCAAATAAATATATGAAGAAATGGTCACCATCACTGGTCATTTGAGAAGTGCAAATTAAAGTAGCACTGAGATTTCATCTCACCCCAGAAAAAATGGCTGCTATCAAGAAAACAACTGATAACAAATGTTGGCGAGGATGTGGAGGAAAAGGAACACTGCTCCATTGTTGGTGGGAGTGCAGACTGGTGCAACCACTGTGGAAATCAGTGTGGGATTCCTCAACAAACTAGGATTAGAAGTTCCATTCAACCCAGCTATTCCCAGAAAAATTGAAAAGGTCATGTCACAATGATATATGTGCACCCATGTTTATAGCAGCACAATTTGTGATAGCTAAATCTTGGAAACAACCAAAATGCCCATCAACAGCAGAGTAGATTAAAAAATTGTGGTATTTTATACAATAGAATACTACTCAGCTATAAAAAGGATCGTCTTGAAGCCTTTATTGGTAAACGGAAGCAACTTGAGAATATCTTCATTAGTGAAATAAACAAGACTCACATTAGTAAATATTGCATTGTCTCTCTAGTGTAAAAAATAAGAACTGGCAGAATAATGGTACCCAAAAAGCATAATAGAAACAAAAGTATAATATATGTAAAAGTATAATAGATATAATAGATATTGTGAAAGTGAAAAGGAAGGAAAGTGCTCTATAGGATATAACAGTGCGCATAGTGTGTAAGATCAGTGTTCTTATTACTAAATTTCTGGTACATCATTGAACAAAAGGGTCTGCACTGCCAATGTTTTAGGGTCGAGCCACTTTTTATGCTTTGATTTTGTAACTTTAATAACTATTGTTAAGATGACAATACGTAATGTATCAACTAGTGATTTTATGATGTTAAACCTTTTTTTAGTTGTGTATTCTACTTTTTCCTCATTTTTTTATTTTGTTTTTTTTTCTTTAATTTTCTTTTCTTTCTTTCTTTAAATGAAATTTAAAAAAAAAAAGAAGTCCAGGAAGCAGAGAAAGAAGGAAGGAGCCTTGGAGGGATATATACCCTTCCAGATCCCTCCCGGGACCCACCACTTCCCTGACCAGGCACCACCTTCTAAGGCACATTTAGTTATACACGAGTAGAGTGTTCCCATAATCCAAGTCTTGCCTCTTAGTACATGAAGTTTTGAGGGGATGCTTATGATCTAAACTTAACACAGTTGAAAGCTTGAGAAACTATTAAATATTTTGGATTTTTCCCTTGTTTTTATAAATTACCACTGATGATACATTCTTGGTTCATATTTTTTTGTAATCCTTTGTTGGTACTTTCAGTTCATTTCCCTAGAAGACCAGAAAGAATAATTAAAAAATAAAAACACACGTGGAGCAGTAGAATGAGAGAAAATGAACCAGCACGTCCCTAGTATGCTGCCCTCGAAACTAACCTGTCATTGGAGGAGGCAGAAGGCCCTGGTCCTCCCCATTACTCTCATGATTCACAGTTCTTTAGTTTGCGTTAGTAGTTGCCCTCCGGCTAACAGACCACATTTCTTTCTCTTTTTTTTTAAAGAAAAACAAGACAAAACAGAAAAAAGGGAAGAAGTAATACAGAATTTCAAAGAAAAATATTAACATTAAGAAATTGCTAGTTGGTAAGTTACATGTTGTCCTTTTAGAAATAGTTGTTTAAGTTACAAAATCAAAGCATAAAAAGTGGACAGTCAAACAGTGACAGTGCAGACCATTCTGTTCAATGATCTAATATAAACTTAGTAATATGGTCATCGTTCCTACACACTTGAACGTCCATATAGTTATATCCTTTAGAGCACTTTCCTTCCCTTTCATTTTTATAACATCTATTATGTATTTTATACCACATTTCAATTAATCAATTTTAATCACGATGAAGACATAATATTCATATGTAAATAAGCCATAGTTTTCAGCACTGCTGATCAAATGATAAAACATTGTCATTAGTAGATTTTCATCAAGATGTCACAGCCAGGAAACCTACAATCCCCCCCGGGCTTCAAGGGTATGTTGCTGTGTGCATGATTTAACTACATGAGGAACAGAAATGGTGAAAAATATAACAATACACTGGATAGTACTTGTCTAGTTGCCTTATTAAAGGCAGACTTGATAGTTGACATAGAGGTCGACAGAGGAGAAATAAAAAAAAAAGGAAACAAAGTTGGCTGATTCCACCAAGCGTGTGGTACCTGCCCATTCAGTTTCTGAAATGAAGAAAGATGTTCTTATTTTTTTAAGTAGTTAGGTTGTGCTGGGATGTAACAGTGGTATAGAACAGGCCTGGCATGTTGAGAATCAAAATTCAATCCCCAGAACCACACACACACACACACACACACACACACACACACACACACACACACTATAAAATTAAAAAATAGTAAAGGGAGCAAAATAATAACAGTAAAAGTCATCTCATGGAATTGCAAGGAGACCCCATACGGTAATTGATGAGAAAGTATTTTAAAACTGTAAACTACTACACAAAGATTATGCCATGTCCAATTTTTATTTTCTTTAAGTTAAAGGTGACAAAACTCTTGCTTTCCCTGCTTTGACAGAGACGAGGTTACATTCACAGTGATCCTATTTACCCGAGGAGCATCTTGTCTTAATGCCTTGTATTTTACCATCACTAAAGCTTCCCACACAGAGGAAACAGCATGTCCTCCCAGCTTACTCTCTTTTGCCATCACAAGACTTTCTTTTCCCTGCTCTTCGTTCCCATCTTCTGGCACAGCACTACATCTGAACCGAGTAACACGTTATAATGTACTCAAAAAAGCATTCCCAGACAACTCAGCAGGTACTGGCTTTCCTCAGAGCCTGTGAGTTACAAAAGCGCCTTCCGCTCACTCATTATACACGTTCTGACTGCGAGTTTCCATAACTGAATAAGAGTAAAATTTTACCTCATGCCTGATGAGCATCAAGTGTCATTTTTAAAGGGCAGTTATTTTTATAAAGAATGACCTGGGACCATAGCAAGAGCGCTGAGCTTTGCGGCTGTTTTATTCCTGAATGACCACACGAAGGGCACCTGTTTCATCTGGAGTTTCATCCATTTTTGAACTGCAGATCTCTAACAAAATGAGTAAAGCTTTGCTACTTATTTTGCAATGGAAAATAAGGGAGGGAAGATGAAAACCTTGAAGCAAACATTGTATGCTGAGAATGCCACCTGATATTTCCGTTCACGCTGTCATTTTTCATTTCTTAAGGCATTCAGTGGTTCTGATTTATAGAATCTGTTTATGAAATGAAGAAAATAGCAGTTAATTTATACACCCATAAATATATCATTTTAAAAATCAAGAAAATATTAATATGATGTATCTATCAATCACTGCCCTTATACATAACCTGTTTGAATTATGCCCCATAAGTTTTCTGACTGTATGTTACAATTTTGTATTTGCTTCACGTCAGGTAGTCACACTTTTCTATCAAAGGAAAAAAGAAAAGCTGTATCCTCTGCATCGCCACTCTCTCGGTCTATGGTAGGTACAGTTTCATTCCTCTCTCCGTAACTGCATAGAGTTCAATAAGAGTTCACAAGAGTTCCTTGTGCACTCTTCCTTCATCCAGTGAGTTATCTGGTAAGACACATAATCTCACTCTGGCAAGCATGGGAGGCCTTGTCTCTGTTTGATGATAGAAATAATGAGACAGAGGAGGCGGGCATGCAAACGGGCACAGGGTCAGAGACGGGAACAGCGTCAGAGGGCCCTGAAGCTGACTCCACTCTTCTCCGTGTGTTTTATTCCACTTCCCAGGTAGTTTGTTTTCTTATGGGAGTGATAAACACTCTTTGTCTTTTTCTTTCTTATTTAATGTCACTTGGTATCATGGGAGGAAACTCAAGGTGAAATGCTTAGAAATAACAGTTTCAGTGAATAGCAAATTAGCCACCTGCATGTGACAGATTAGCCAGTCAACTAAACATCTGCAGTCCATCCTCCTCCAAAACATTTATTTTCTCACTAAGGAGGCCATGCAGGTAAACTGAATATACTTTGTAAAATTGCTTTGTAAAAAATATACTTTGTATGGAGAAAGACAAGTATTTATTATTACTGGTGTATTATTATTGGTGCAGTATGATAATCTTTCCATGTGAATGCAATAGGAATGTGCTCTAAATGTTACAATAATGTAAGTACCATTGACAAATAAGTTTATAGAGATAAAATTAACGAAAAATGTGTTCCACCAAAGCTATGAATTCCTTGAAGAAAATACTACGACCTAAAAACAATCCAGTTGCCAAGTATTGCTGTGAGAGAGAATAGACACATATGTATATGTGCTGCAGAAATTCGGGTGCATCCTTTAATGTTGACTTTAATACTAAGGTAGGACGGTGAGTTACAGAACCCACTGTTGTGATTTACCAGCCCCTGTCATTGGTCATGACACATCAGTTTTATAGCACACATTAAAATACCATCCAGAAATGCAATGTTGTTTTTAATTTTTATATTTGAAATAATTACTTTTATAGAAAATAGTAAACAGAATGCAGAAAAGAGATGTGTATCCATATCATTTCCCCAATAATTTCATGTTATATAATTACAGTGCAATATCAGAACCCAGGAAATGATGTATTTGTATGATTCTCAATCAGCTTGTGACGTTAAAGTTCGGTAACCATCACCACAACACCCATCCTCACTGCTTCTCTTTATGATGAGGTATAGCAGCCATGGATTTGTCCTCATTCCTGTAAAATCCTCTGATCCTCGGGTTTTTAACTGGTCTTTCTTCTCTTCTCAATTTTTTCACTGGCATTTGTTTAATACATAAGGTACTGTTTTTATATGTATATACAGGAGGAACAGGACAGGGACATGTTCTTCATTTTTTCAGAAGCAGAAGCCGTCAATACAGGATGGTGGAAAATACAGTGTCCCTTGCCTCTTGAGTAATTCAAGTCACTTCTGATAACGAGGATGCTTCCTACTCAAGCTCATATCTTTGCCAAGTCGTGTGTGACAGTTATCACTTGCATCACTGGCTGTTTTTAACAGGAAAAGGAACAAGGACAAAAGTTTTGAAAGAAAGAATGCAGGTGTGAGAGAATAGGATGGAAATTCTAGAGAGGAGCACGATGATGATCCTAAATAAGGATAATTTATAACACTAATCAACAAGGCAAGTAGGAAGACACCATGGAGTATCTGTTACTTTCTTTTATTGTTAAGATGTATTGCTAAATATGATGTGGCTCTGGACAGTTGAGTCTTGGAGTGGACATACAGCCTAACAATTCCACTCCAAAAAAATACACATCCACTCAAACTTCAATTTTCATGGATATGTTATTCATGATTTTAAAAAAACTAGAAACAATCCCTATGGACACCAGCTAGTAAAAGAATAAACACTAGTGGCACATGTGTAGAATAGCTATCATTTGTCAGAGTTTCCTCATACGAAACAATTCAATTTATCACTCAGTTGTGTTTGGAATCTTGTATAGAGTAACAAAAATCTCTAATAGTTACATATTACACGCCATAATAAACCACTGAAGGGTCATTTTTCCAATATAAGAATTTTTAATTTAATAATCTGATTCAATGTAGAGTAAAAATTTTTCACTAGAAGTTATAGATTCTGAAGTAAGAAGTAAGTGAATTCACTGTAATACCCTTTATTTATTATGTAGAAAAATCTAATGTATAGGTTCAGGCTGCTGGAACGACATTGGTGATTTTGGTAGATAATCTGAATATCTTACATACACAGAAAGTACAAAGAGTTATCTTACTACATTCATCTGGCAGTCAAATACTGAACTGACCAGAATATCACACATAAAATGCAAAGTCTGGTTATCTTGAAAAAAGAAACTATTGGAGTTTATACTGTATCTTTGATGTACTTGGTCATACTGCGGACAAGTGTGAGGGAAATGTGAGACTATGGTGTAAGAATGTATATCCTACTTTGGCCCTTTAAAGAAAACTTTATTTCACCTTCTACATCAGAATGCTCTGGCCTAAAAAGTGGACGTGTGGGGTACAGAAGATATTGAATGCCTGCCACGTGACCAAATCAGTTAGAACCAGACAGCAGGTATAACATTTACAGTGAAAGACTGAAGAGGAAAAAACTCCAACTTCATTTTCCTTAACTCCAACGGTTTTTAATGGGTGTTTCAGTTCTGTTTGAGACTAAAACTAGTTAGAAGAGTCGGTCCGAAGAGCTGGTCCAGAGTGTCCCATCCTGTCGCTAATGTGTGCTATCACCAGCATGTTGTACAGACTTATCCTGAGGACGGGCTGCCTCCTCTCAGCTAGACCTTTGGAGGTACACACTTAGACATCAGAACTTCACTGGAGGCTTCCGTTAAGATACCAACTAAAGGACCCAGCATGTTTGAATCCCATACTAAGGTCCAACTCTGTTGGGTTTTCCTAGTCCATGGGTGCATTAGCTTCATATTACTATGATAAAATACCTGAGGTAATTGACTTATAAAAGGAAATGGGTTAGTCTGGCTCATGGTTATAGGGGTTCAAGTCCATGGTCAAGAGATCCCCTTGCTTTTGGTTTCTGGCGAGGCAGCACATTATGTGAGGAGTACGTGGTGGAGCAAAAGCACTCACTTCATGAGCCAGGAAGACAAAAGAGGAGGAAGATGCCAGGGTCCCCCAATTTCTTTCAACAATATGCCCTAATGCTAAGGATTTCCCATAAGGCTACAACTCCTAAAAGTCCACCATCTCCTAATAAGAACCCCAAGGACCAAGCCTTTAACCCATGGGCCTTTGAAGTATGCCAATGCCAACCACAGCAGGAAAACTAGCACACTGTTATCAGTAATACCCTCATTCAGATTATAGCAATGGGACAGCACAAAATGGTACTGCTCAATTCTCATTCAAAAATTTTACTTCTTAAACTTAGGAATTGCATTTGGACTTAAGAACTGAAGATTTGCTACCTTACTTCACTGTCTCTGAAGTGATCACCTTTTCTCTGCACAGAATGATTCATGACAACCTTAGTTAATAGGAAAAACTGAGGCACTAGTAAAAACAAACTGACAGACAGACAAAAAACAATGAGCTTGGAATCATGGATCATTTACATTGATTGTACACATACCATCCTGCACACAGAAATGGTCTTTACAGGAATCAGCAGTGTCATGTGGAAAGTTTTTATATTTATTTTAAATGTCATATACCTATTAGCACAGTTAGTTATGAGTTTCCTCATCACCCACCCATTAGCTATAATGTGGATTGACACAAATTTTACTTGTCAGCTTCTTTGCACAAACCAGATATACATGTCCATTCCTTTTGCCCTTCGATGGCCACAGTTCCTCCCAATCAGGATGCTCATTAAGATTAACGTCCCACAGCTCATCTCTGAGATTCAAGGGGCAAGAATGACTTTCCAAGACAACCTCTGATGTATGTCACAACCCATGTATCTGCTACTGTTTCTTTTGTACCCATAGCTGGCTTGCAGCATGACTCACAAAAGTATTCATCCGTAAATGGAAAAATACTTCTAACTGCATCAACAGCTTTCAAGAATGATCAGATCAAAAAACTGTTAAACAGATTTGCTAAGGCTCATATTCCTTAGCCCTCTCAAGAGACACAGTAACTTTATGATGGGATTTGAAATGTTTCTGGGCTATGATAGGGCTGGATAGAAGATTGCAGTGTTAGATGAGCCACTTTGAAGGTCACATGGTTGAGGTGTGTGTGTGTGTGTGTGTGTGTGTGTGTGTGTGTAATCCTGGGGATGGGACCCAGTGTTCACACATGCTAAGAAAGTGCTCTATCACTGAGCTCTGATACTCTGAGTCTCACTTCCTCATTTTGTTCATAAAATTCACCAAGTTCACATTTGAAAACCATTCTGTTCATTGCAGAATACTTTACCCAAGTTGCAAAGATTGAAATTGTGCTCCCCTCTGGTACAAATACACAGCAGGCAGTGGAAGCCAGGGACAAGGGGAGCCCTGGCCAGAGAAGGTCCAGTTTCCAACATTCATCCTGCATGTCCTTGTACAGCACCCTGGCTCACACTACTACAGGCTGACACTTTTACCTAGGCTACTTAATAAGGGTCTTTTAAATACTGTTTTATATTTCAATAGCAGTCAAAGAGGATGTTTTCTAACTTATGTCCCAAAATTTATGCTTCTGTTATCATCTTCACAGCTGTTCATCAAAGAATCATCTGAACATTGATAATTTTCATGAGGCAGGAACATGACGAAATTCAGCAATAGGAGCTAAGTGTGAGTTCAAAATATAAATATTAATAATACATTCAAAAATATGAAAAAGACAGCCTATATTTTGCAATTCATGTCATCCAGTCTTCTCTGTGAGTGCTGGATTTGGAGTTATAGGACTAATGTTTGCCCTGCTAAGTGTGGGTGTTTATCTCCCTTTTGGGATGGGAATGTTTACCATGTGGCATTGAATGTTGGATGTATTTACTTTTCCTTTTGTACTTTTGGAGAGGCTCACAGGTAAAAGATTTGCTTTTGAGACCTGGAGATTTTTGGACTGGACTAAATGCATTTTGTATAATAAGATGGCCGAATGTTACAGTTAGATTTAAAATGTCCCTCAAAATCTCACACTCAAGAGTTGGGGTCTGAGCAGAAGGGGTGAGTCACTGGTGTGTGACTCGGAAAGGTTTATCCTTCTCCTCAGCTCCTCCCTTCTTTGTGCTTCCTGACTGCAGTGTGGTAAGCTGCATCCCTCCACCAAGCCTTTCAACCACGCTGTTTCTTCCTTGGAACCAGACAACCAGTAGCTGAACCCACCAAAAACATGAGCCAAAATAAACCCCTTTTTCAAGTTGCAGATGTCAGGTATTTTGTCCAAGGGACAGGACAGTGACCAATACAATTTATGATAGTATATATATACTGAAAAACATACAAGGATATTCATTGAAACATCCTATGTTGTTTTATTTAAATATTAGCCAAATCATAATTACCCCCTTTTTATTCTTTGAAATGTATGTTTCTTTTTGTCCTAGATTTATTAAATCAATCCTTAATTATGGGGAGACATGAGCAGTTTGAGAGCTGCTTTCTGCAGGTCTAGTGTCTGAGACCTGCAGAGTGAGCATGAGACCAGAAGAGACCAGTGCTTCAGAGGTTAACTGAGGACTGTTCCAGGAATTTGTTTAACTAAGGAAAACATCGAAAGTAGATCAGCCATGGGGCACATAAGGGCATCTAAGTAAGACGAGATGCAACTGTATGGGGGTAAAATCCATGGAAATGAAACAGAAAGTTTTCAAGCATGAAATGTTTTAAAGAGAAAATACATAGAATTTGGCATTTGAGAAGGAAAGGTAGAGCATGGACTGATGACTATAAATTGACTAAAAATTGTGTCTTTCTCACAAATTATTCAACTTTCATGGATACTATTTTGTATTTATATTCTCTTATCTTCCAGGAAGATGGATACTTTAACAAATTGATCATTGTGTCTTATAAAGACAACCTTTGGCCGTTCTTTCTCTGCATGTGGCACATACACTTACTGAGACTGGAGTCTACCTAATGTATCTTGAGGGCTCACGTGACAAAGGCTTGGTCTCCGAGGTGGTAATGTTGGGAGGCAGCACAGCCTATGAGGAGCGGGCACTGAGAGAAAGCCTGAGATCCCTGGAGAGGCACCCTTAAAGCAGGTTGGGAAACTCTGTCTCCATCCTCTTCCTCTCTTAGCTCTCCATCCACAAGGTGAGTGGTTTTTTTCTGCCACACAATCCTGCCAATGTGTGCTGCCTCATTTCACACTTAAACAAACAGGTCCTGAACAACCATGAACTGAAACCTCCAAACTTGTGGCCAAAATAAATTTTTTCTCTTCATAAGAGGATTTCTCAGTTATTTCATCACAATAACAAAAACTAACCCAGTATTTGTCTCATATTCATTGCCAGTCAGTAAACCACCCAAAGCTCTTGTATTTCCCAATGTCCACTTTATGTGGACATGAAACACAGAAGGTCTACAATAGTTTGATTAGGAAATATCACAGTGAAAAGCTGTGGTGGATTAATTTCTGGACATAAAATTGATTGTGGTTTTCAGCTGAAGAAATACAGAGATAATAAAAGAAGGAAAAACTTGAGGTGGAAATTTTCAACATGAGAAAATATAAAACAGCTGTAGTTTCATGAGATATAACTCACTGCATTAAGGTATAAAATTTTCTTCTATCTATGATTTTAATGGGAGAGAAGAGACATTTTCCATATACATATCTTTAAGACTAAACCCAGAGAGCAGCTGCAATCTCTGTACCACATCTGCCCCAAGGCAATGCTATGCCACAGATTCCATATTCTGGCCAACTCAAATACAGATTTAAAAAAAGGTACCAAAGAGAGATTCAGAAGATTAACAATTCTATCCAAAGTCCGGACAGCAAAGCAACCAGTGGGAGAACAGAATATCAGAGCTAGAAAATAAAGCTATTGTCAATGGTCAATTGTTTAGAGATTTCTTAAAAAGAACAAAAGAACATGAAAAATGTATCCAACCTCTACTAGATAACATGAATAATACCAATCTAAGATTAGTTAGAATTAGCCAAAAATATGAGACAAGACAAAGAGTCCCACCATCACCATTTCTGTTCAATATAGTCCTTGAAACACTAGCCAGAACAATTTGACAAGAGAAAGAAAAAGGCTTGGAAAGTAATGTCAACGTATCATTATTTGCAGATTTTATGCAGATCTTCTGCATAAAAGACCCAAAATTTCCACCCAAAAGTCCTAGAGTTGACAGCCAAATTCACCAAGGTAGCAAGATACAAAATCAGCACACAAGAAATAATAGCATTTCTGTACACCAATAATGAACCCACTGAGAAAGAAATTAAGAAAGCAATACCATTCACAATGGCACCAAGAAATAGTTAGGAATTATCCTATCCAAGGATATGAAAATGCTCTAGTCAAAAAGCTGCAGCACTCTGAAAAAGGAGATAAATGAGGACATCAAAAAGGAGAGATGTATCCCACATTTTTGGATAGACAGAACCACTAGAGTTAAAGCGATAAGCAGAGCCAGTATAGTTAATATGGCCATACTTCCAAAACTGATATCTAGACTGCAATCTCAATCAAAAATACTAACATCATTTTCACAGATCTAGAGAAAACATGTCTAAAATTTGTATGGAATCAGAAGAGACACAGAATAGGAAAAACAATCCTTGATGAGAACAGCAAAGTAGGAGGCAAAACAATATCAGATTTGAAGTTATATTACAAAGTTCAGTTATAAAAACAACATAGTACTGGCACAAAAACAGACACGCTGATCAAAGGGACAAAATAGAGGAGCAGAAACAACCCCATGCACATTCGGCTATCTGATCTTTGATAATGGGCCCAAAAACACACACTGAAGTAAAGGTAGCCTCCTTAAAAAATGTTACTGGGAAAACTAGCAATCCACATGCAGAATACTGAGTCTAGATGCATATGTCTTACAAAGTACTAAACTAAAATCAAAACTGATCAGAGATCTAAATGTTAAAACAGAAACACTCGAAGATAAAAAAAAAAGGTAAAACTTTTGAACACGCAGGCATAGGCAACAAATTTCTAAACAGAATCCCAGTTGCACAAAAAAACATCAAGAATCAACAAATGGAATAACCAAATCAAAAAACTTTCTGCCAAGCAAAAGACACAACCAACAGTGTGAAAAGACAACCTATAGAACAGGGAAAAAGTCTTGCCAGCTATTTCTTGAACAGAAGACAGATATCTAGACTATATAAAGAACTCAAAAAAAATTAGACATCCCAAAGTAATAGACAAAATAAAAAATGGACACTGAAATAGCCAATAAATACACGAAAAAATGTTCAACATTTCTGGCCATTAGAGAAACGGAAATTAAAGTACACTGAGATTCCATCTTACTCAAGAAAGCATGGCTATCATCAAGAAATGAAGTAACAAATCCTGGCAAGGCTGTGGAGAAAAAGGAACATTTTTGGAGGGAACGTAAACTTGTACAACTATGATGGAAATCAACATGAAGATTCCTCAAAAAACTGAAACTAGAAATTCCATTTGACCCCAACTATTCCCCTTCTTGTGATCTTCCCAAAAGAGTTAAAGGTATCGTATTATAGTGATACATGCACCATATTTATAGCAGCACAGTTATAATAGCTAATCTTGGAAACATCCTACATGCCAATAAACAGACCAATTAATGAAGAAAATGTGCTGCCGAAGGCAAAGTTGAATAACACTCTTCCAGAAAGAAGAATAAGCTTGAGTCATTTGTAGGAAAATGGATGCACCCTAAATCAGAATCTTAACTGAAATAAATCAGACACACAAGTTTACCTATGTGTGGTTTCTCTTTTAGGTGAAACTCAAAACATACATATAGGGCGCAGGAACTTTTTTTCAAATGGGAAGGTGATCAAGAGATAGAAGGAGGAGATGGAGGGGATGATGAAGGAGTCCAGATCTGCTATGTGTCTACAACAACACAAAGAATGCAACTACTCTGTAATGTGAACATGTACAGTATTAATAAAACAAACGTTTTAAAAACAATGAAACCTGACTCCAACACAAAAGAGGCCTCTTTTGAATAGGACCAGTAAAGTTAAAGAAAATGAACAATATTTTAGCTATTGGTAAGACAACTTCTTTGGCTTTTAGAAATTTTGAAGACATTTCAGGTTTTAATATAACAATAAATTACCATGGATAAAGAGGAAGCAGAAAAATTCTCTGATATTTTGCATTTTCCCCTTATAAACAAATTGTACACTAGCCTATCATTTTGCATTAAAAAACGTGAAGGTATTGTGGAAAGAAAATACCAAAGTGAGCATTTTGTCTGTCTTATAAGGGTTTATCAGTATCACAACCGGCATAAGGATGAGGGAGTTTGAAAGGGGGGAAAATAAACTCTTAGTTTAATCTGTTAATAAAACGTACACAGAGAAGGCAGAGGTACTACGTGCATACATATACATTTGTATCTGTAGCCAACACAAGAAATTATACACAGGACAGATAATGACTGTATTTCTTAAACACAATCACAGCATTCATTAGCTTTCAAAATTGCCTAAGATAAGGCATTAGATCTTTACAGATTCATTTGACTCAGAAATGAGAAGGCAGACCTGACAGCAAAAGTAAAACTAGTTTACCTTTGTTTGTTTGCTAACTCAACAAAATATTGATCAACCTACTATAAGGTACAATGCAGCCAGCAGCAATGAGTGCATAATTCACTTCCTGAAAGTCAATTATTGATCACTCATCAAGTCCTGTAATTGGGTTTATATATCATGTAAAATCTATTTGCTTAATATAGATCATTCATTCATTCATTCATTCAAAAGTCTTAAGAATTTATTATGTGCTAGGATATCAATTGAATTCTCATAATAAACACTTAAACGATATGTTAACTTTGAGAAATTTTCAGTTAGTGACCCCAAAATAGTTATAAGAAAAAAAAGAATAAACATACTCCATTAACATAATTAAACATTTCAGTGCCTTCTTGAGTTTCTCTGACACTAGCATCAAAACAGAGAAATGTAACTAAGACGCTGGGTGTCCATTCATTACAGCACACTGCACACTCACTCAAGGCCTGCCAGCTGCAGGTGTGTGTGTGATTACTTCTCACCCCGAGGTCCCCCTTGCTTGTAAATACTACTGTGGGTCTGTTAAAATAGCAGCACTGATTTTGGTTTAAAACATAATCACTTTCGGTCGGGTAACTCTAGTTTCAACAATTCATCACATACTTTATAAAGAAATAGAAGAGGGGTTTTTGAAGTTTCTCAAAACAAAGAAATGCTACAAGATTAAGGAGACAGAAATGCTATCTACCCAGATTTGATCACCATACTTTGCAGGCCGGTGCAACATTATCACACTGTACACCCTGCTATGTGCAGTCCCTGTGTGCCAATTTTTAAAAGAATGCAGATTTTACTGACATGTTAAAACTGAAGTTATACTAAAACACCAACTATTAAAATGTAGGAAACAAAAAACATATTGAATTAATTAATGTGCCCCGTGTTTTGTTAAGTGCAAAGTAACTTTGTATTATGCTTTCTAACTTATGAAACCTTTTATGGAAAAGTTGAGTCTTTTCCCCAAAAAGAGAATACGTTGGTTTTATAAGTACATTAACTTGTGTTAATATACTTCATTCTTTATTGGGTAAACCGGAAGAATTAGTTTATTAATATCTAAGAGGCCTGAATGATGACATCTCCAAAGTGTTGATTTCGAGCACTTCGAATCGGTCAGATGGAATTCATTAGTACGGCATCCCTCATGCCAGAGCTTCAGTAATGATCACGACTGTTTTCACAGAATTTTCACATCACGTGGGAACAAACTACCCAGCTGTACACCTGGAGATTATTTGTTTTCTCTCTGTGAAATGTAGCTTTGTGGGGTAGCTTACAATCCACTGGAGAAAAGCTTTCATATATGTGGCACGGGGTCATTCATTTGTTGGTTTACTTATTTATGGTCAGAACATTTGTCTACTCAACCATCCACAAAATATTCTAAATCTAATAAAGAATATTAAAACACTAGAGATAATCTGTAACCTTCAATAGGTCACTCCCAATTTCAAATTCTTTCATTGAATATGGCAGGCTATCATAAGGGAGAAGAAAAATGTCAAGCCACTGGACAATAAATACAAAAATGACAATAAATTTGTAATAAACTCAGTTGACAGCAAACTCAAGTAATAAAGCCTGTTTTTCTTCTATCCACATGAAAATAAATTTAATAAAGACTAATATCTTGGCTTTGCATAATATGAGTTGCAGGAACACAAGCCAAGAATAAAAATGACTGCAGTGATGGATAATCTTCACAGTCATATACTTTAATATGAAATATGATTTGACATTAAGAAGAGCTATGGCTGGAAATGACCCTTATTCTCCTTTATTCCCTGTGTCTCATGTCAATTACTATCTCAGTGATAATGAAAACAGTCATTTAGACTCTGCAGGAAAATCATGCACAGGGAAATCTTAGCAATGAATGAAATTAACAGGCTTCAATGTGTTTTAGCAAATGTACTTGCTCATGTGATCTTTGCCAATTTATACATTATTTGCATATATGCAAATTATTAATGTAAATGTATTCAAGCAAAATGATTAAGTTGTTCATTTTTGAGAACCACCCTTCCTATAACAAAGGCCATGAGATATTAATTTGACCCAATGTGCAATGCACTAAATGTGCTCAAATAATGGAAATACAAGAGAGGGAGTGAAAGAGAAAAAGGGCCCAAATAACAAGAAAGAAGATACCACAGAAAAAGCAAAGTTTTCATAGTGCATACTTCTTGTGTCATTTTCATATAGGCCTAAAATGTTTTTTGTTAACTATGTAAATTCAATTCCCTGAGGACTTACTCAAAGAAATTTTACTTTAGGTTTTACTTAGAAAAAAAATGCAGCATGATGCCTTGTCACACTGTATATGGTGTTTAAAGTTCCCTACATCTAATATATTTTATACACTTTTTTCCATGCTGGAACAAAATTCCTGAGGTAATCACATTAAAAAGAGGAAACGTTTGCTTTGGTTCACAGTTTCAGGGGTCTTGGTACATGGTGACTTGGCCCCACTGCCTTTGGCCTGGAGCACAGCGGCAAATCAAGGTGGAACCCATGGTGGGAAAAGCCCTCACATCACAACTTCGGCAAAGGGAAAAGAAACAGGAAGGGGCTGAGGTTCCCGCTCAGGTCATGTTCCTGGTAACATAACTTTCCCCTGCATCTGCCTCTTTAAGGTTCCACCGCTTCCCAACGGAATGATCAGCTGATGACCACGCCTCTAAACCCTGGACCTTTAGGGAACACACACCCAAATCACCACACACAAAAAGTTAACATTCAATTTTCTACACTTCTCTTTAAACATACGTACAGGAAAACACACTCCTAAGCTAATATTCATGCTGGAGCATGAATAAACCATTATATGGTTTTTCCTCCTCAGTGGGCGGTACACAGGGAATCAAGTAAGAGAATCAATTGACAAATAAATTAGGAGTTGTAGTTAAAATACAATAAAAAATAGTTTCCAATTGCTTATTTATTCTGCCAATGTTATCATCCAAATAAGGCAAATTAAATAATCTGGAGCAACATACACAAGAAATTTATACTTGTAGTAGGAAACCAAACAAACAAAAAGGCATGGCAGATTTCAAAGCCTTCCATAAATACTTCAGTGCTGAATGATTATACAGAAAGCCCAGACACTGTCAAAATCACATGGGACTTGTTCCAAAGCCCACAAAGACCGTACCAAGCCAATTCAGCCAATTCATGGAGCAAAAGTGACCTACTGATTCGTACCAAATACATCCTCAAGGGTTTCAAATGGGAACACATATGCTTATTTAGAATTGTAGTTCCTTCTAGAAAGCATCAATAAATTACAACCATTTCATTAAAGCAAAATCTAACAAGATTTGGCAAGGATCAGTAAGAAGCTAAAAGCAGACTCACCATCTCTCCGATTAAGCCTTGCAAACCCAGGGCCGTGGCTGCCGGATAGCTCCGAGGAGCTGCTGAAGGAGGACAGGGGCAAGGCAGAGGCCAGCGGAGCATCACAGCTGTCTGCGGGGAAAACATCGGCATGCGGTTAACAAACAGGCTGCAGCTTTGGGGAGACAATCGCTCAGAAAGGTAAGTGAGGACACAAGGAACTCATCTCTCTTAATTTTTTAAAAAGATATATACAATATTTGTATTGTGGTATAATTTACAAAGTGAAATTCCTGTGAATTTAAATTATTTTAAAGGTGACCGGTTTTGACCTATGCCCACAGTCGGAACCGCCACCCTAAAGAAGATATAAAACAGGTCCCACAGCCCCCACATGTAGCCCATGTCCCATGTTTTCTGGTTTTTCCAGGTGTACGGCTGCACCAGGACCCCAAAGCTGCTTTAACCTTTGATGGTTGGGTTCCTTAGGCACAGGCACATGGAGGCAGTGTGAATTTTGTGCCCAGATGTTGATGTAGTTAAAATTCTCAGTGTCACTGCACAGAGTTCATGGAGAATAAGGCAGCTGGAGTCTGAGCCAGGTGCTCAGATGAGAGTGACCTACAGGGCACGTGAAAAGCAACATCTGTAGCAGTAAGCTGGAAAAATTCCATTGTGGAGACCTCTGCAGTGCAAGTGACCGGGGAATATTTTGGCATGGAGACTCCTCCTCTTTGCCTGGTGTCTTCAACATCACAGGAAATGGCCCCAACCTATAACCCACAGAACCCTGCATGTCCCTCCACTCTACTCCTCTACTGTTTGGGTCCTGGTGTATAAAAACTGCAGGAAGGTGTGGGGTTTTCAATCCGGATCAGTCTAATTGTTATCTATGAGGTCTTTCACCCGAGGAGCTTAGCTGGTATCTATGAAGACTTCCTGCTTCTGGTGTCCAAACCTGAAGAGACCTTGGAATCATTCCCATCCTGGGAAGCTCTTTCACATGTGTGTTCGGTTGCTCCTCTGCCCTTCTTATCAATATTGTAATTATTTCACTTTCAGGCCCTCCACATATCTTCTCATTAGAAGGCCACCTCTTCTTGTTTTCTGGCATGGCTAGTGTGAGCTACTGATTTCCAACACATGCATTGAGATATTTTGGCTAAGAGCAATATTATACTTTGAATATACCATCAGAAGATTCTGAATTGCATATTTTACATGTACTTTTTTCTTTGTGAGCAATTGTTAAGTTCAGTGAGGAAAAGAAAGCATGTAGAATTATATTGCTATCACTTGAGAAAATATCAACTGCATTCAATGAGATAGATGTAAAATGTAGTCTGGAGTCTCTCTCTGGTGATCTGTTAGATTGCATGCATGGCATAGGGAATAACAGAAATAAAACCCAGTGCATAGAATTTGCCTGCATGAATATCACTTTATAAAGAATATTGGAGTACAATAGGTTTTCTAAAAGCATAAATTGTCATTGTCAAAATGAATTAAGTTTTGCCTAAGGCTGTCTCCATACATTTTAAATTTGGTCTAAAGGTTTCTCCATACATGGTGAACTGTCACCTAATGTGATGTGCTACCTAACCTGAAAGTATACTCTTTCAACAACCAGCCAAGCCTCAACCAATCACAACATCTAGACCACCAGCCAACCAGAGGGTCAAAGCTGCCAAAATATGATCATTTAAGGCAAAGGTGACGGGCAGCCAATCAGGTAATTTCGTCAGTCACTTCCTGTTCCCTGGATATAAATATAGCTACAACTGCAGTGAGCTGGAGCACTTCCTCTGCCTCTTGATTCATGAAACATTTCTTTGCTCAAATGAATTCTGCTTAATTCTATTTGTCTAAAGTTGTTTTCTGAACATCACGAGGATAGCTATATCAATTTAAGAAGCAACAGAAAAATAAAACTCATTTTGAAGTTTTTCTCAAACAGGGAAAACTATTTCTCACCAAATAAGATAACAAAGTATTTGCTACAAACATATTTTTCATGTATTTTTCTAGCAATGACAATGTTGTATTTATACAGGTGAATCAGACACTAGGACTCGTGATTTTTACAAGTGAAGACCTGCATGATTTGACTAAGCAACTACATTTAATGCACTTGACATAGGGAGCATCATGTTTTCTAAATGCTCAAACACCCAGGGAATCCTGGCGTACTGCTAACCCACGGTCTCCTCGACTTTTAAAAGCCCCTGCACCACAGCAGAGCCTTGCTGGATTCCCCTGCACACTGTTCTCTGAGTAACACAAGTGGGGATGATTCTCAGAATTTAGCAAACAGGTCACACTATGAACTGAGAAAACTTGAGAAACACATACTGACGTAACTTTCTAAAACTTAACCCAAGTTTCCCATAAAAGCACTTTAAAACTGTGAAGATGCCAAGAGAGCCTAGAAGGTGTACTGCACCTCTGGACAATGGACCCCATTGCACCTCAAGGAATCCCTGCAGAATTCAAGAAGAAAGCCGATCATCGAGGGAGAACTGCCTCGAAGGCTTCCTGCCCACTGTCTCCTTCATTATTCTTCAGATAAAAGAATCCAAGAACAATTTCTGAAATGACATTCATAAATACTTGGTAGAAACTATTCTGGCATCATGAAGAACACTCTAGTTATATCCAAGATCCAAGGTACCACCACGGTGCCTTTTTGTGTTCCACCTGCCCAGCACAGTCTGAAAGCACATGCTCGATAAACTTCGATTGAAGTTTACAAAGTGAAGTTTACAAAGATAGGTATCACAATCAGTAAATTTAATCTTTCCTAACTACTAGGATGGATTTTATTGCCCAAGTTAAAAGATAAGAATTTTAAGGGGCCAGGAATATAGCTCAGCAGCATAAGCACCTGCCTGAAAAGCCTGTGCTTTTGTGATTTGTGAGTTCAACTGCCAGTACAAAAAAAAGATAAGAATTGTAGAAATATCACAGATTCATCTCTCTAATGCGATTTCTAGAGAAGCTGTGAAAAGCTACAACAGATAATGTCATTGTTACTTTTTCCCTTAATTAATTTCTTAACTATATGTTTTATTGGTCTCAGTTCTCTATATTATTCAAGTTTAGGAATAAATCTATAAAGATAGCTGGTAACAAAATTATTGAACTTCCATTTCTCCTGTGCAAAATTCAAGAGTCATAACATGTGTGCCAAGGATTCACTTGTAACAAAGAAAATATCTAGGGACCAACTTAAAGAAATATGCTCTTTAAAAAGGCAATACATTCACAAAAGAAAAGAGTGTGCCTGGTGTCTGAATTTCCTCACTTTGCTCTCCCTCTCATTTCCAATTCTGCAAGCAGCATCTGCTGAGATTCTGAGTGAAAGACATGATCAGAAGCCCCAGGTGTTATGCAACCCAAATCTCCTCCTGCTTGCTTGGAAGTCTAGATAAGACTCACTGTATTTTCATGCACGTAACTGTATATTGTTCTGCCAGAAAATCCATAAATGTTTTCTTCAGGGATTATTCTATACCTATACAAAAAGGTTGGACTTTCACTGAAGGTGACTGAGTGGAAACTCAAAACCACTTGAAACAGACATTTTTAGAGGGAAAAAATTCTAAATTTATCACTGTTGCTTCTGCCCCTCATGAATGAAGTGTGCTTTTCCTAAAGAATTCCCTTTAGATAGGAAGGCATAGATCCATTCAGATTTGTAAGAAGAACTTGTACTTACAACCTTCCACATAAAAGTTTTACTTAAACTCTCACTAAAATGATGCCAAGCATCTTTAATAATTTAAAAGGCAAGTTGCACATGGAAAGGAAGAAATAGCATTGCACACAGACGAACATATGGACACATCTCAAGAAGGTACGGCTCGCCATCGGTCTTTATGATTCAGTGTGTTCATAGCTGTCCTCCACATGGACCAGCTCCAATTAAAAAGAAGCACAGATGTATAGTTAGCAGTCTTTACATAATTTACATAGTCGCCAACCACTAATGTTTCAGGGCATTAATTAATTTTTCCCAAAATGAAGATATTTTCCATACATCTGCTTGTTGATAACAATGTCGGCACTTGTTAAATTCTGTAATGGTAGGCTGCTTCTATGATACTCTGACGCTGGTCAGGTTCCCTCCCCTCATCTCATCAGCCCTGGATGGGACAGTTCACCCCAAAGCCTGGGTCCAGCCTGGGCACGGGACACCAATCTGGTGGGCGGAAAGTCAGATTGTATTGGACAGGCTGATTGAAGCATCAAGTTTGTTTACTCATTTGTGGTATCGTATTCGTCCATGCTTCCATTAATGCAATTTTGGCTGATAGTTTAAAATACGCATTTAATTTAGAAACAATCTCAAATTTACCGAAGTTGAAAAACTGTATTCATACACACCATCACCAATGAAAATATTAATATGCTTTTCCCACACAAAGAGATTTCCCCCACATAATTGTCATACATTCATCCTAATAATCATGGATCCAGTTCCAACTTGTAATCCTCAGATCAAGTTCAAGTCTCACCAGTTCCCAGTAACCCTTAGAGAACAAGCACTCAGCCTGGGTCATACATAGTGTGAAGCAGCTATGCTTTCTCAGCGCCTTTCAGTCAGAATGCCTCCCTCCTGACCCCATTCCACCTCTGGCAGTCTGCTTTAGGTCACCACCAGTGCCACCTCCCGTGTCTCCACCTTTGCTGCTCTGAGGATCCCAGTATGTGTCTGCACCCTGCGCCATGCTGGCAGGCCACCCCCTACCCTCATGGCTCCCTGCATGTTCAGCCATCCACCTATTGGATGGCTTTATGTTCATCAGGAAGAGAAGCACGGAGGAAATGGAAAAGCAAGTGATTTGGTTTTTTCTATGAACCAATTAATTTTGGAGGGTTGATTATTATTTCCCTGGTCTACTTGTCCTCTGTAAAGATTATCTGTCTGCAGTTTAGAAAAAAATGAATAAAGGTAATCTGGATTCAATTTTTTGATACAGCACCATTTAATACTAAATTAAAGTCTGTCACTCATCTCCAGATTCTTTTCAAAAATGGAATTAGTAAAGGGTCCAAAGTAAAACACCTGCTGAAGTAATTATTCCTATGCTGTATGAGACATTCTTCCTGACATGTGCCACCACACCACA